CCAATTTCTGCGGTGCTGGTGGGCTTTGGTAGATAACCAAGAATATAAATATGATGTGCAAAGATAATTTAAAATGACTGCGCAATCTCTTTATTATAGCTATTATACACAGTATTGCGTTGTTTGATACGCAAAATTATTTTTATGACTTTACGGTGACATAAGTTCTTAAAAGAATAATTATTTAATGGCACAATATTAATAGCTGTCTGAATAGATAGAATTTTTGTGATCTAACTTTGTTGTTTAACTTTGTAACGGTAAATTTGCGCGATGCATGTTCCCCTCAAACTAATATTAAGTTGCACTAATAACCCTTATTTTCAGTGTTATTGCATATTATATGCATTACATTTCATTTTCCTAAAGCACAATAAAGCATAATATACTTTTTCCAATGATGCAAACGTCTTTAAAATACGGGTAAAAAGTGTTTTTAAAAACAAATATCCTTGTACTTAAATATAATTATTCAATATTCAACTACAAAAGAAGAATTGAAGACGTAATATTTTTATGCCCAAAGTTCAGCTGCATGTATTATATTTGACAACCGTTGCTAATGGATATCCGCTCGATAAACAAAGACTTAATTCTTGCACTAACGAGTTTTGAAGTAAATCATGCAAGTCGCGATTGTTTTATCGATCATATTCTGAAGTTATTTCTGAATCATTCCAATTAAAACATAACTGAATTATTGAGACTAGATCGATTAGAACTATAAATTAATTAGGAGATTGGATTTGCATGGCTTCTTAAACTATTATATTAAACTGCTACCAGCTATTTGAAATCGATTTTCAAAAACAGAGGATGACGCAATATCCGGTGCGAATTGCTTTATAGGTTCATGTAAAGATGTACACGCAACGAGAGAATAGTTACAAAACAACCAAGAATAAAAGTTGGCCATTTATGGCGTTTCTTATGTGCATCTTTTTTGCAAGAAAGAAAAGGGTGCATATTTTTATGCTAAATCTGAGTGTCTCGAGCTTATATTTATATATATATATTTACAAGTTTAGCTCCGGACACGAAATTTCTGAGACATCTGACTTCAAACTTCTCAGACATTTTCTTCGACGAAAGAATTGAAGAAACTTTGTAATCATGAATCCAACTATTTTCTGTTTTCTTGCCCTGGCTGTTATCATCGTCTTGTTCTGTAAGTTCAGAGTAGCTTTGTGTTGACGACGAAATCGAACTTGTTAAAAAACCAATTAACATAAGAAATATCTTCGCATACTTATGGGATATTTAGAAAGCATTGGAGTGTATAATATAATTTCAAATAGCTTTTAACACAAGGATTGGCAGTTTTCTTTATTGTTATTAGCGGCTTGCTGCCCTAAACTTCTCGGGCAAAACGAATTGAATTGTTGTATATTTCAGCTTCAGAGCCATTGTGAAAAAGGCCAGTCTCTCCAAATTTTAGTAAGTTGAACAGACCATATAAATCTAGTGGATTTAATTCGGGGAGTTACAATGCCTTCTTTCTCGTTGTACCTGTCGCCTTCCAATTTCTAGCTCTTTTCCGAAATATTAACGACGTATTTTATTCCAAAAGATGCGCGTTCTACATGCTTTGAATCTGTTTTTAATATTTAATTTTATAGCTAGCTATAATAAACATTATCAAACCGAGCTAAATACAATCATTCATCATGCCTTCATTAAGTTTGCTGATTTTACCTGCCGTGAACTCATTCTTTTCCAACTCTCGTATTTAGACATTGGTCAAAAAGAATCGAAGAAAGTCTGTTTCAAAGGTAGAAATTTTGAGCTGTTCAACTAGTAAAAATGAAAGTATTATCTTAATTCGTGTGGTATTAACGCTCAGGTTTAATACACAGTAAAGAGTTCTTCTTGGCTTGACGTCAAGCAAAGAATATTCAGACATTCTTATACCTTAAATTGCATTATATTCATATCTGCGATGCTGTTCAGCCTACTATGTGAACTAGTATTAATACCTCTGAGCATTTAGGTATTCGACCTTAAACTTATGAAATCAATATATAGCAGATCACAACCTGCACTTATAGAATTAAAGTAATTCCGAAAAATGAAATCATAATACAAATTTTATTCTGTATATTTCGAATCAAGATCGATTCATCTTCAGCAGAATGGTTTACAAGATCTTGTAAACCATTCTGCTGAAGATGAATCGATCTTGATTCGAAATATACAGAATAAAATTTGTATTATGATTTCATTTTTCAGAATTACTTTAATTCTATATGTGCTAAAACTATCAGCTGGTAAAGGACAACCTGCACTCTATACAGACATGTAATGACCACTTAATCATTGTCTTGCTCTATCTCCGATTAATTTGTGAATAGATTTGATCTGATTTGATAGATAATTATTCTATTTATTATTAGTGTACTATATAAATTACTGCATGCTGATTGGTGATTGGTCATGTGGAGGGAATTCGACTCGTCCCGACATCTTGGCAAAATTTTCAAAATCACTCGTACTAATTGATCCCGAATTCTACTCGCTATCGCATGATTATCTGCATGTGCATAAACCTATATTTAACAGTTATTCTGCGAACTCGAGTCGTATATGAGCTGATATTATACACAAACTTTGTCGCCCTTTCGGCGCATTTTGGTGAGCTATTATCGACTAAAGCTTGGATTTCTATTTCACTCAACTCCCCAAATCCTTCAGCCATTTTGTTTACTTTCTCTACTAGATAGATATGAGCTAATATCTGTCTAGTAGCCAACCAATGAAATTGCAGCATACCTCATATCTGGCGCTTGTGTATATAAAATACCTATTACATATTTACTTGGGGTGTAATGATTACCTCATCTTAATTAAAGTGAGATGCAGGTGCTTTCATATGTTCCGTCAGCTAAACTTTGTGCTGAATGTTAGCAGTGATATGTTTTCAATATGTAACTAATCAACGTCGTTGTAAACAGTTTAAAAACTAATTTGCGTGGCGTACATGCTGTTGAATATAGTACGTTTGTCGAAATAGTCCGTATTTTCTCAGAATGTAGAAAAATTGAGAGAACAGGATTGATAGCAGTATGTGAAGAAGACGAATTTGCAGTTGGATGCGAGACAAAAGAATTTGATGAATGTGGTGCAAGTCAGGTTTACAAAGGTCAAGGTTGCATGGTGAGTGAATGTGGAGACGTTCCTTATCGACGCTTCAAAAATGGAACTGTCAGAGCAGTGTGTTGTAAGAGAAGTCCAGTACAAATTATTCCATTTCAGGAAAATCAGGGACGTTGGAGATAACAAAATTATCTGTTATCTTCAAGACGGTTTTCAATAATACTTCGTTGGAAATGTAACGCAGCTAAAATGTAATAAAGCTTTTATGTTTTTTATTAAATGATGTTTTTTTTCTTATTCTTTCACATTAGGAAAGATTTTACACCTTCGATGTTCAGGTTTCCATGCATGAAAACTTTCAATGGACTTTAAATGTTCGACCTGGCTAATCATGGTCAATTATACCAGTTTATGGTACACTATACCGGTCTAATCAGGGTCGACTGATATACCAATTTGTGGTATACTCACCGGCTAATCATAGTCGAGTATACCAGTTTATGGTACACCCAAACTTGCTAGTTAGGATCGAATGTACTAGCTTAATTGTGGTATACTCAACCTGGCTAATTGAGGTGAAATACCGGTTAATTACATACCCAACCTTGTTAATCATGGTTGAATATACCATGCAGTTTATGGTATGCTCGACCTGGCTAAGCATAGTCGAATATACCGGTTTGTGGAATACTCTCCCTAGGTAATTAGGGTTGATTATACCAATCGCTTTGCAGAAATTGTATGCAGTTCCATGCCTTATTTTATTAGCCGCCTCAAATAGTTTCTGTAAACATCGTTAATATGATACGAGTTTAATACATGGAGGTATGAGATATAAAACGTCGAATTTTAGGTTCCTAACCTTCGTTTAACTACAGAAAACCTCGATTTCTGATGGTGTAAAATAGTAGCATCCCGCCAACAGAGCTTTGGTCTTTGCAGCTCCGGGTTTGTATCCTCGTGGAGGCTGGTATGTGTCACCAAGTTTGCTGAATGAACATTGGTTTGCGACAGCGTTGTTCTCGATATACAGGTCATAACCACCGCCAAAGACTGCTCCACATGCAGGATAACAGTAGATTGCCATGTCACATCGGTTAGGAGAGATCGGACACTTGAATGGCCGCAAGTTCTCCTTATTTTGTAAGGAGAACAAAAATGATGAAGTTGAATATCTATAATCCTCAAAACCTAAAACAAAAAAGATTTTTTTATTTTGATTTTTGGTACACGTACGATGAATAAGGATTTGATATTATTAAGCAAATGGTTCCATCTTGATAGGAAAACATATTAAAGCCGAATTTGAGGAACAGTGGCAAAGAATGGGTACGTCTTAAACAGTAGAAATGGGGTGGGACGAACTAGCATTTAAAATGGCTTCAAATTGGCTTCAAATATGGTGGCCTTGCTGTCGTTTTAGTTCACATGGAGTTTATATATACTGGTAAAGACTGGTTGGGAAACTACTGGAAGTAGCGTTAAAAAGACCCAAACTACTCTCTAGTTAATTCCTGGACCAAATGCACTTGTTCCAGTCCTCGATACTGGGAAAATTCACAAATTCACGTATTTCAGATAAACAGTGATCAAGAAATAGCCGCCAAGGACGTAAGTGTCCTCTGTAGGAAAAACGTAAGTGTTCTCTAAAGGAGGGTGTACCCTTTGCCCTATTTTTTCTGCCAACCAACCCCCGCCCAATATGTGAACTCAAATTACCTCCATCTCTAAACACCCATTACCGTTTCCTAATCTCAATGTAAGAATAGTGGGCACAATGCAACAAGTTCTAACGACAATATGATTGCAAATTCATTGCGAAATATACATCTCGCAAAAATATCAATAAACATTGAAATAGGTCATTTGCATATGTGGCTATCTATTAGGGTGTTTTTTATGCCTACCCAATACTAGTGATGGCTTCCAACTTTCAGCAGTGAAACCACCAAAGATGTTGCTTCCACATTTCACTAAAGTCAATGTTGGTCCAACATCGTCGCACTTTCTGTGAAAATCCTCTGCGCTCCAACCATGACTCGAGGCGCGGTAACAAAGTTGCCAACCAAACGTCTTATCTTCCAACCATTGTACAAGTTGCTTCGCCTGTTCCATGTTACCATCCAAGATGGTTGATCTTTCACATAAAGACTGTGCTGTAACGTTAACTGAAATGATTTAGGTATAGTGTGATCTTTGTAGAGTTTACAGTCCAGTCCCCCCCCCTCCCAACCAGTAAGTACAGGCGTAATAAACATAACAGTCATCTCACCTCGCCTTTTCTTCGTTTTTTCCCGATAAACTATATAAATAGAAATTGGTTTACCGTTAAAAAAGACTTGCAGTACCCCAAATTGATAATCTACTCTATTCCAGTCAAGAATTTCTTGTCTGATTCCGGGTTAGCAACCTGGCTGTACACTTTCAAGTGTTTTAGGAGGGAAAGGTTAGGTATGAAATCATGCATATGCTCTCGATTATAATTTTAGCTAACAAATATCTCGAGGGCACGAAGGGAAATAGTTGAGCAATATATTCTTCAAAATTTGCACATCAGTTAATTTGGGATCTTCATCGACCTGACGCACATTTTACAAGTAAACAATAGCTCGTTTTTAGTTCTTGTTTATTAGAATTTAAAAAACAGCAGGCAATGGTAAACTAAAAAGTCTCGATCGTACAATATGTTTCAAATCAATCAAACGGGGAATGTCAATACGGGATTTGAGACAAAACTCTCAGTCCTACTCAAAAACCAATCTCGCTTTGTTGCTGTTACAGTAATACAACATTTATAAGTGAAGTATTCATACATACCAATTCTTCCGAGGTCATTTAACTTTATATCTTCCATAACATCTTTTGTTGGTTTGAAATGATATTCGAGGAGGCCATCGTGGACTGGTTCCATCTGTTTTGGTCGTTCACTCACAAGGCTCCCAGCTTTTTCCTCAATCTCGTGTTTGAGACCCAATAGTACCTCGTCGCTTCCACTGGCAAGAACATTCTTTGCAAACTCCTGCGAACGTTTCGCTTTTTCGAAATAGGCTTTCACGTCGGCTTGTTGTTTCAACAACGGCTCCTTGGATTCCTTGCATTTCATATCAGCTAGGTCGAGCAAGGCTGTTGTTTGTTTATCGAGTTTCTCGGCAAAGGCATTCAGGATCATCTGTTGATGCTGCCTAATGGCATCCTTTGCTTTGGCCGTGTTGCTCTTTAGGGTCTCTATTGTCCTTTGAATCTTACGATTGCTTTCAGCTGCATCGTTTTTCTGCTGTTCAAAAATGCTCGAAGATGCATTCAATGCTTCTCTATGCTGTAGGACAATGTCTGCCAAAAGGAACCAGTTATGTCCGGGCCGTGTATGACTGAGATCCACGCAATATCGACAAACGAGAGCTTTGCAGGTTTCGCAATAAAACTTGAGGACCTTGTCGTGTTTCTCACAACGAGGTTTACCTTTGACTTTTCCTCGATTCTCTGGCCTCGCTAATTCTTCCAACGTCAACACGATGTGATTTTCGAAGGCTGGCCAGTTGTTGTGAGCTTCTAGACATTTCACGCACAAATACGTCTCACACGTTGTGCATCTGCTTGCTGCTGGAGCATTTGCTTTGCACGACTGGCACTTCATATGACGGGCTTGTTGTTGCAGGATGAGCGATTCCAAAAGGTTGTTAACGAAATGGTTTTGTAGCAATTTCTCACCGATGCTTTCTCCTTTTACCGAGAACTCCGTGCAGCACACTGGACATTCAAAAACGTCTCGTACTTCGGAACCAGCTTCGACGGCCCTCTTTCGCTGACTATCAATACAACTCTCCAAGCAGTGTTTACAAAATGAATGGTAACATGACAGTGTTCGTGGCTGATTTAATATCTTCATGCAAACGGAACACTGGAGCAAACTTTCCATTTGCTTCGCCGGATCAGGATCTAGTGCAGTAGCCATCCTGCTGTAAGCTTACTTTCTTAGCGGTCGGGCCAACGTGAATTAGATCGATATTCACTTATAGTCACACAGATAAAATGTGTAAGCTTATACTTCTATTTCTTTGAGAAACGCCTTTCTAATGCATCCAAACTGATATTTTATTGGCTAATGCATAAGATTTTACATCCTGTTTATTTTTTGACAGAATACTACCGCACGTGTAATAATTAATTAAATTTCTCGTATTTCGCAAGAGCATAATTACGAGATTTAATCATGTTCCGGGAAACCACCGAATTTCCCGGAACATAAGAGAAACATCTCAGATTCGTACAGATCAGACTCGCAAAACATCAGCAAATGGAAATATTTTGCTCATAAAACACGCTGTTTATAGAGTTTGACCTTTTAACTTACTGAGACACTGGCTTAAAAGATCTCAATACAGAGCATTCAAAAATGATTGATATCCGGCCGTAAGTTAATTTCTTTTCCTTCCATTTTCGACTCCTTTCGACGTAGCTCGATGTCAAAAAGTTGATGTTGATCAGTTCAGGCTTGGAATTCTCACGTTCTGCCTTCACGTGAGAGTATAGCGTGCGCAGTTGGGCGAGATTTTTCAAGTCTTGTCGACCTCTTTGTCGACCGTAGAAGACAAAAGCACTTGCTAATTATTCAACACCTTGAAGGATTAAAGACTTCAAAAATTGAGAATACATTTGCCGATGTAATCGAATGGAATCAGCATGCAAAAGAATAAAAATATCAAACGGCAAATTATTTACATTTTCACCTATAATTATAAGCTCAGAAAACCGATTTTTAATGCATATTCTTTATTGTAAAACACTTTTACATTTCTAGCAATTTATCGAAAATTTAAACCAGGTTGTGGTCTACTTTTCAGGTCATAACTAGCATAGAATTTCTTTTACAACACATTGCTTGAAGTACTCCGCGTTGAGGCGTTTGAGAAGATTCTTCACAGTTGTTTACCATGCATCCTTGTCCACCATAAGCCTGACTTGTGCCACATCCGGTGAATCCTTTTTTCTGGCACGCAACGGCTAGTTCGTCTTCTTCACATGCTGCTACCAATGCTGATCTCTGTATCTTTCTACATTCTGAGGAAACAAACGATGCTGAAATTTCATTTTCCCTGTACTATGCCGCCATACATGACGACGTTTTATCCTATAGCTGTGCATTAATTTTGGAAAATGCCCTGGCTGAGTTCCGGATTTTGTTTGCTGGAAATTTGCCGTTGAGCTTTTTTCAGATAGCGTGATATTGTTGTGCCTGTCCTGGAGGGTGATTTTTATTCAGTCTGAAATCTCGCATGAAAGATGTGTTTAGACAAGCTCATCTGATGGTATATTATTGATTTTTCCTCACTTTGTAATTTAAGAGAAGCTTATAAGCTTTGTCAAAAGTAATACCAGTTTCTGAACAACATGCTTACGACCTTACTCTGCTATACACATTAACCACGCTTGCTCTTGTCAGCTACCTCTGTAGCTCAGGGGCAAGAACAATGCACTGGCATCGCAAAAACGTAGGTTCGATTCCTGCTGGAGGACCGATAGTTGACTTATTTTTCTTGTTTGTTGAATACTCCTTGCTTGAATTTGAAGTGTGTATAATTCCACTCGAAATTAAGACCCTCTAAACCTCTAGAATTTACATGCATATTTAATATACAATTTTAATTAAAGATGGCAGAATTGTCATATTGTACCTTCGAAACAGACCTTCTTCTTGCCGGACAGGCTTTCTTCTGAAAAAGTCCGAATAATAACAGAATAGTATTAGTAAAATCTGATTAGACAAAATATTTAAAGTTTTGTCAAAATATTTCAGCATTATGCCCTATAGCTGAATGATATAGACACTTGTTGTAAAGATTCAGAACTTTGTAAAGATTTCAACTAACCGATTGCTGGGTACTCCCCATCTGAAGGCCTTTCTGTTGTATCTCCAGATACCTCTTCCCAATTGTGTTGAGCGTCAACATACGCACCTGTAAAGTATCCATTACAAGACAATTTCTAAGACTATTAATCGTAAATAATGTTTATTTAAACTACTAGGGCGAGTTGTATAAAAGACTAGTTAACTTTTTGGACAATCAGGGTCGTGTATTTCTGATTTAACTGGGACTATAACTAACTATGAGGGACTACTATATGGGACTATAATTAACTATGCAAAATAGTTTTAAAGAGTTTTATACAACCGGCCACCGAAATGTTTATTCCTGAAATTACCGTTATATAACATAATATGAGTTTTTAGCATTATTTTTATATGCCTTCAATAGTTACTTCACCTATATTTATATCTATGTGTACTTACTGCATAAAGCGACAATGAGGCCAAAAACACACAGAACTAATTTGCTCATGATTTCCAAGTCCTTCGAAATCTCTTGTTGAACGCGACGTTTTTTTGTTCTTTAAATTTTATTCTGCTATTTAGAGTTTTGACTTCCTATATATATACTCGAGGTAACCTCATTTGCACACAGTAGAACGAATGAGGTAATCGTTTTCGTTGCTTAGGAAGTTGCGCTACATGAAGAAACGCCTTAAAAAGCCTGTCTCGTTACTTGCTTTGCTTGGCTTTGTTTTGTAATCAGTCTATATAATATCTGCTACCGAGTCTAACGCATCGATATGAAAACCCGGATCGCGCATAACGGATGTCGAGAACTCAAATTTTTTGAAGGCACCTGCCGCTATCTTGGTAATTCAGATTCTGTGCTCTGATTGGCTAGATAAGCCACTGATCTGTATATGATCCAGTGAAAGAATCAAAGGAATAAAGGCTGCCAACTTGATACATATAGAATCCGGAATCCAACGATGGTGGGTTTTATTGCGCTGTTTAGTTTGACAGACATGCAGTGAATCTTTTTTTTTTCAGACTGATATAGTTGATCGAAAATCTTACTCTGTGGTTATGAAAGAAAATACTCTAAAATAAGTTTAAAAAAGTCCAGGTTTTCGTCTGAATACCTTTTCTGCAATGCTTTGAAGGCTTATTATACACCGTTGCAATTGCATGGAGCCAGAGATATTTTGTATTTTTTTTAATAAACTCTGTCGCTAGGTAGGTTGGACTGACGGATCGTGTTAAAAATATCCTCATCGTGCTCACGTAATGCTGGTCTTTTTGTTTAAATGCTAATATCAAAACACACTTATACTACGCAGACACCGGCCTGTGCACTTTAACGAACTTGGTTAATATTGAAAAATACCCTTGTACTTAAAGCTAAGCTATGCGACTTAAACGCATAAGATTACATCACCCTACGTAATGTTATATCACGTCTAGACTCCCTTTTTTGTCTGAAGTGTGTACAAAAAATATAACGTTCTTTCTTAACTATCTTTAAGAAGTTAATATTTCCAAAGGTCAACAGTAAATTTATTTAGTTTCTTACTTGCCAAACCTCGCCTAATCAGAAATAACGAGATCATGCATTGCTTCGAATTAGAAATTAGAAAGGTCGTAAAGACTATTGCCAAAGCCAAAGATACATATAGTAAACTTTTTTACCATTAAGAAATAGAAAACATTTTCCGTGTTTCTATACAGTTATAGAAACACGCGTGGGGGTTTGGGAAAACGAAAAATAATCAGTGAGAAATAGGGGGAATTTTTTCCACTTTATTTCGAGTTCTCCCAAATCCCCACAAGTGTTTCTATAACTGTATAGAGAAGAAACACAGGAAAAAATGTTTTCTATTTCTTTTGTAATATAACTCAATAAAAAGATTTTGTACAAATGTTATAATTCAATTACAAATTCGCATTACGTCGCTTCGCTTGTCAAGATCGGCGGAAAAATTCCCGTGTTTCTATACAGTTATAGAAACACGCTTTTCGACCAATCAGCACGCGCGTACTATAAATTTTATATTATAAAAGCTTATAGTTTGCCGTTGAAGATCGAAGAAGTCGTTTGCGTTGTCGTATTAATTGGGCCTGGGGCCACTAGCTCAAGTCGAAATTTATAAATTTCTGACACATGCACCGGGCAATATCAATTCTATCATAAATTTTTCAAATAATTTCGTTAGAATATTCGTATCGTCTTCATCTTAACACAGCAAGCATCCCAATCAAGCAATTTAAGCACTTTAAAAATCATTAATAATTCATAACATTTTTGCCAATGAAATCAAACTTAAGAAATCACCTGTGTTAGCTTTATACGTTGTAAATTACCAAATCCGTAATGTTGAGCCACAAATCGCACTAACTTAAAGAATTGTGTGTATTTCACTGTCTTCAAAGTAGATATTTAAAAAATTCATCGACAGCCTAAACGGTGAGCCTGTGTGCACACAGGTTTCCAAAGGTCTCCAGCCAAGATAAAATTGCGTAAATTACTTGTTGCAATTACTGTAACAAAGATCTAAATGAACCAGAAAAAAGAAAAGAGATGTAAGTCACTAAGCAACATGGATGAACAAAAAGATTAAACTGAAAATTATTCCATTTCCGCTGAGCCGTTGCTTTACAAAACGCTGCGGGTGCCAAACTTTTGAAAAGTTGAAACTAACCTGGAACTTGAATGAGTAAAGTGAATTCGCGAACTCAAGATGAATCAAGTTATTCTGTATGTTTTCGCCTCGGTGATTGCCATGCTAGTCGTGTGCTGTACGTAAGTATTTCCAAGCAGTAGTTTAGAACTTTATAGACAAACAACTGCATCAGTTTTGACTTATATAGAATGTGTTTGATGTGAGATGAATGTCTCATCTTTTTCAGGGCAAAAATTCATGTGAACTGTGAATCGTTTATTTGAAGTCCTAGACCATAGCTAAGTGCATTCTAATGTTTTGCTAAACTCCGAAGTCTGCTTTCTGAAGGTGCCTGAGAAATATTTTTATACAGTTAATAGACCTTTGAGGTGCTTACGTCATGTCGGTCTCGAACAATGAATCGCAATGCAATCTGGGAAACAAGTGGGACAAAATTGTATAGATAGAAAACTGTGTGACGTAAGCACTTCAGAAGG